TTTCCCGGAGTCCCCTCTTTTTACGTAGTTCCAGCACATCCCCAAACCTTATTCGTGGAAACTATAAAATCTTTATGAGCTCCGCCACCGAAACAAACATATTTTACAAGTGGCACCTCCGATGCATAAATCGTTTGACCCACATTACGAACATTGTCGCCATCGAGAACGAGTAAACACGTCGATTGAGGGGAACCTCATGTGCATGTGTTAAAACGAGAAGAAGAGTGTGAGAGAGAAAGGGCACACGATCAACGGGTTGGGTTGGCTGCTGGTAATAATCTCGCCGGTAATTAAAGCCGCCTATGTTTTCGGGCTATTGCTCGCTTTTCCACGCACACGTAACCACCACCCCAATTCACCTCCCCAAGAAAATCGATTTCCCAGACACGTATTTTAGCAAAATAGAAAAGCCCGTGCGGTTAATTAACTTCGAGGTGCAAAAGAAAAACCTGGGCCCGCGGTTATTTCATGCCGGCGCCGTTTAAAGCCACCTTCCTCATTTTTCCTCTCCACCACCCGAAGCGATCCGCTTTTTACTTCATCTCTTATCCCTTCCTTTTTTTTTCTCTCTCTCTCTCCAAACCCTTTACCCTTTTTTTATATTCGCTTCTTCATTATTATTTACTTCGAGAACCGACCCATTCCATCCAATAAAGCGTTTCAAAGGAAAACACATAAACCCATTACAGTTAATTCTCTCTGACCCAAATGTGTTCTCCTTTTATTTAATCAATTTCATACTCTTCAAGAAACAAGCATTCAACAACAATTTCAACGAAACCCTGCAATTTTCCTAAGAGAAACAAAGATCTTTGCTATCCTATTATGCAACCGTATTGATCAAATACTAAACTACATCGACCTAATTGCGGGCACAGCTGGTCCTTCAATTGATTCCAATTGTGTACTTAAGCCGATTTAATTCTATTAATTATTAACGCCGGCACCAAATTCTCTAAATTACTTCCATATCATACATACAAATATACATATACCTAATGATAATCATAATCCGTATTAGTGTAGATACGCAACAATACAGTTCATTAATCAAATCCATCACACATTAATCTGATATTAACAATTTTAAATTAACATTCGCCAGGACAAATTGAAACATTCAGATGAAAAATCGATTCAATTAAAGGTAGCTTTTGATATTCATGTTAACAAGTTGAAAGGAAAACGAGTAACGTGCGATTGTGAGCCTTGACAAAACAGTTGCTCATTAACATCTCATTACATTTTGATGAGCGTGCATAAAGCATCGGAATTCGGTATGCAAATGTTTGCGGCTGTGGCATTTCGTGGCGGACCCGGATGCGCACGAGAAGAAAGAATTAGATAGCTGCAATTTCGTGATTCCACATCCTTTCTGAATTATATAAAAAAAAAGGGATGAAGTATCAGAGAGAGAGAGAAAAATGCAAAAGCGAAAATAAAACAAAGAGTCATCGGCAAATAAACGGTCTGCTAGATGGAAATGAACGTTAACAAAAAGACAATCCGTTGACGGAGTGAACAATGAAATTTGCGCAAACAGAGCAAAGCACTGACTATGGATAAATAGAAAAGAGCATTTTATACCGGTGCACGTTAATGATTCTTCTGCCCCGTGCGAGTGTGTGTTTTCGTCCTGTTGTTTGCTGTACTGTTTATTTTTCTCTCTCTTTTTCCTCCTCTCTCTTCTTTTTTGTTGTTCGCTGCCAGCAATTATCGATTCCAGGACAACAACGAGCCTGGGAAACAACGAAAACAGGGAGACATGCGAGAAATAAAGAACCTAGGGTGTGCGGACAATGCGGAATACGATTTGGCCGTAATTAAATATCCTCCCTCCCTCGTCCTTATCCTCTCCCTTTATGTATATATATATATGTGCGAGTGTATTAGTCGGATACGATTCAAGGATGTATGCTAAGGGTGGTTCAACCCGTTCGAAATTGACGTTCCGTCGCGGACTAATTAAATCATGTTCAAACTCCCTTGGAGCTCGAGCACACGTGCTAACGACTTCGAGAAACGTGTAATAAGCATGTAAACATCATAGACTCACATCATTTGTCTTTGATTTTCATATAGATGCATCAAGCTTCGTAAATTCTCTCATTCAACTCATGCATCGAACAAGATACTTTTCATCGCATCTGCAAACTGTTAGTATTGTCCGGATCTACCGAAATGTAGATCTCTCTAGTTAACCTGAATTCCGATCTTAGGATCACAGCATCTGCAAGAGGGCGTCAGCCGACATTCCATTTACTCGATAAACCGATTAAAAAAGAACATATTTTTCAATAACAAAATTTATCGATTAAATGACTTTTTAGGTCATAAATACAAAAGAATAACAGTTGATAAATTACTCAAGAAGAAAATATAAAATTCAATTGGACTGTGTATACTAAAACAATAGTCTTAAATATATTTCATGTCATATATTTCATGAACAAACATGAGAAGATAATCACAAGTTTATATTCATTGATTGGATAATAGGCATGATATTCCAAAGTAATTAAGGGTGTCTTCCGGAAAATCGTACGATTATCCATGCCGGGATTTCAGAGTGCTTAATGGATCGTCAGGTCGTGTCCCGGCGCTTACAGTATTACAATTTTTTGGCATCTTGCCGAAGGCAAAAAAAGAAATATGTATATGAGAAAATACACGGAGATGACGGAGCAATAAGATTCAATTAGTTTGTGAATGAAAGCACGTACGGAATCCGAGAAAAATGGAGAGCAAAAGATGGGGAGAGAGAGAGAGAGAACAAGAATATTCGGAGAGCGGAAATCAAGATGCGTTGACCCATAAATTATGTATGCACGAAATAATATGAATTTTTAATGGACGCTTTTAGCATTCTTCGGAGTTCGAAATCTTCGCGTAATAATTTTAAAAGGGGGGGCTTTCGATCAGAATAATTAATGGAAATTCTTAAGTATTTAATCCTTTGGAAGCAGCCGCAACTCCTTCCATTCGGGTATTGAATATATTTTTGCGGGCACGCCCTTCGCTGCTGTTGTTCTTACTATTGTTTTTTCTTCTTCTACTACTGCTTTTTGTTTGGCAGCTTTCATTATTTTGTGCTTCATCTTTGAGTCGTTTCGTTCTTTCTCTCTCTTTCTCGTACTTTCATCCACTTCATCTCGTGTTCTTTCCGAAGTGGTACGAAGTTTTTAATTGTAACGATGCAAGCTGAATGTGAATGGGGGCGAGAAAGGATAATAAAATGGTGAATAAAAGGACGGCGTGGAAGTGGAATGAGAGAGTTTTGACAGTGGAGAACGAGTTTTGTAAAATAATCCGTCGGCGGACGCGGCGTGGCCGAGGTATGCGGAGGTGAGAGGCATCGAAACTGAAATTCCAGTATAATAATAATAATCGTGTTTGCTGGAGAGACACAGAGGTAAGAAGACGGAGCTAAGAGAGAGAGGATGAGAACGGTAGAATGAGAAGTACACCTCCGTATGTGGCTGCCTTGTACTTATGCGAGTCTGTATAAATTAAAGAGTTTATTGATTGGATTGGAATGGATCGTGAACATATGGTTGGATCACATTCACAGCAAGGACGGTCGTTGGACCTAAGAGTTGGTTGTCATGCACGTACCGAGTTCAGCGTATGCGTGTGTATGTACGTTTGTTGTATGTATGTATGTATGTACAGGCTGGCCAACAACAGCAGCAGCAACAGCAGCTACAGTAGAGAGAGGCGAGTTTCTGTTTCGGTGTAAATGAGGTCGAGTTATCAGACCGGGGGGAGGCGAATTCCGGTGCGGAGTCCGGATCAAGAATTGCCCATTCCGCCCTAACGCCTTCGCACTCTCTCGTGCAGCTACCAACCGGTCTGGAAATAGCCATGTTTGACTTCGGAAGCTTATTGTTAGATAACTTTGTTTTAGTTTTCCATTATGACACGAACTTGCTAATATCTAAAGTCTTCTCGAGAACGTGTGGCGGCGGCGGTGGCGTCGAAGGCGGACAGAATACATTCGGACCCATCCCGCCCCAAAGCCGGGACACAACCTACCTTATCTGCTTATGTCAGCCTGGGAAGCAATTACCACAGCTAAGCACATCGGCCAGCAGACATTGTTTTGGAAACGATTCAGATAACTAAAATTGGACATTGCGGGCGTTTTGATTATTACCTACGTCCTACATAATTTGTGTGACTATTACAAACATATCATAGTTTCTTTTTTTTACTTTAATACCATGTATAGTCTATATTAAGTTGGATATTAACAATTGTAGTGATAACTATTTTTTTTTTGTTTATAATAAATAAACATATGTGTGTGTATATTATGAACACATGTGCATGCGCGAGGAACGTTAATTCAGTTTGCGGAATGTTGGGGAGCGTGTGATGTGGTAACGCAGCCACCGACGGTTACAGAGAGAGTGAGTATTTGATGTGTGAGAGCAAGGGAGAAAGAGAGAGTAAATGAGAGAGATGGGTGTATAGAAGGGAGGATACGATGCGCGGCATGTGGGGCAGCAGTAGTCAAAGTTTTATTTATAGGATAGCGCGCCGATGATGCGAAAAGGTGCGACGAGCCAGAGTGCGCACAATGTTCAATACAAAAGAGGAACAAGTTGAAGAAGGATCAGAGTAGGAAGCGCGTTTGAAAGGGTAGTCGGAGCAGGATCGGCGCGGCTGGACGCAGGAGCAGTAGAGAGGAGAGTAGTACCGTCGGTACCATTTCAGGACGAGATCGCTCGATCATAGAGGGATGAGTAGTTGCGGTTAGGATAAATGGCTAGTGCCATATAGTAAATGATATCTTTCAGAGGTGGAATGCACGTGAGGAATTCGGCGCGAGACGTCAGTCAGGGGGAGTCAGGGTGGCTGGCGTGGCGAGGTCCCGGCGGCGGTCGATCAATATAGGGAGCGGCCTTGTATTGCTATGCCACGGGGTGCGCAGATGTGTACCAATATTACTACCTCTACTACGACTACTACTACACTATGTTGCTAGTACTCACCGTTGGCACGCATTTGTGGCTGGTGGAGATGAAGTCCAGGCCGCGCTCCCCGTTGCCGCTGAAGCAGTGCTTGATATTCATCATGAACTTGCGCCGGATGTTCTTCAGTGAGTAGACGCAGAGCGCGCTGAGGTCCTTGGGCTTGTTTGCCTGAGTACGATCACCTTCACTGAACACCGCGAACAGTACATCCTCCTGTGGAGTTATACCGATGTCCGAAGCGAGATCAGAGCCGGCCTTCCCCATGTACGCGGCCTGCACGAGGTTGTACTTGCGTCCACCCTCGCTCATGCAGTCAATGGGGATCTCAGTGTAAGAATAATAGTTCTGATCGTCGTGGCACACCCGCACTAGCTTGCTGATCCAGACGCTCGAACTGGTATGCTTCATCTGAGTGGTAAGGAAGTAACTGAAACCCTCCGAGCTGAATCCGTATACGTAGTTGATTGGATATCTTTCCCTCGCCAAGGAGTTGACAAACATCCTAGTTCCCGTGGTAACGGCTGTCTGGGCAATGGTAAACATCTTGTCTTTTTCCAGCGAACGACTGCTGACCGCAGGTACTTCAGAGCGGTACGGCGAGCCTAGCGTGAAAGTGACCCCGACGTACATGACCATGGTTACAGGTGGATTCGGTGGTCCTGGTGCAATGAACGCCACCGTCGAGGCAGTAGCATTGTTGGCGACTACAGCTTCACGGATCTCCCTCACATCGGAGGGATCGGAATCCGAGATGTTGTTCAGGTTCCGCACGGAGCATATACCTTGGAAGAGGCTTCCACAGGTAATCAGACGGCTGGTGGTATAGTCTATGACCAGAGCCTTGTTCACATTATCAGTGAGTTTCTTGTTCACAGCTGTTGTGCATTCTAGGGCTGAGCATTCATCTGCGTCCAACTCGGGCCCTGTCACTGCAGATATCACCAAGTCCAGATCTGGCGAGAATTGGTATAGCCTGTTCACGGCACCTATGTACACCCGTCCTGTATTGGTATCAACGACGAGGTGATTAAAACGTTCGATGTCGGGATCACTGTACGAGCGCACAATATCACTGGAACCGTAGGCAGCCGCAGCAACAGCCAAAAGCAATGTCAGTAGCCGCTGCATGGCGGGAGCGGCAGTTCAGAGCATTCACGTCATGAGCCCTGTAACAGAAAAGACATGAGCACCAGGTTACTCCACCTATAATAACAACAACAATAACATTTATATTTAAAGCCAAGACATGATGAACAACATTGCACATGATGAAGATGGATGGATACAGCTATAAACACACATATACTGAAGATGAGAGGGATAAAGAGAGAGTAGAAAAAGATAAAGGGGGGGCCATCTCGGATGAGAAATCTGAAAGAACTGGGGGGATCGGAATTCGCCACCATTCGCAAACACGATGAGTCACCAGGCATGTAGAAAATGCAAATAGCTCTTGGTGGGTATTTTGAACTTGTTCTAACAGGTTCCAACGCGACCTGGACTTACAATGGGTTGTCTCTCTTGCACACATTCACCGCGCTTGGACTTTCTTTCATTCCATGCAGCGCACCTATCCTCACAGATACACACATATATAAACACATCCATACATACACAATAATACCAAATCGCGACCTTCACTTTTGCTCCTCCGTTCGCATACCAAAACCACCTTGACATTACTACTACTGCGCCCAAGTAACGTTTGCTCCCCGCGGATTGTTATTACTTAAGCTAAGTTAATAATAAAGGCCGCAGCGGATGGTTCTTTGCGATGGTAAGCTAGGCGTGCGTGCTCATGGGTTCACGGTGCTCGGATAAATTAATATACGTGACCAGAGCCAGTTTTGCTGCATAAAACGATATTGTACACAGCGGCGGTAAATCCTAGAAACTCGCTGCTCAATATTTACCCTCCCGGTCAGAATAAATAAAACGAAACGTTGATGCATTGCGCTACTAAAACCGAAGGGTTGCAAATAGAAACAAAGAAACGAAACAAACGCAACAACACGAAGATAAAGAAGAAACAAACAAACTCAAACGCAGTTGCAGCAACGAAGATACATCCTGCATTGTTATTTATTTTTTTTTAATCGTTATTTTGCATTTCTGCCATTCAGCGACGCGAAATCATTCTCGTTTTGACCCACATTACTAGTAGAACCAAATGAAAGTTTGTTGCCGTTCGAGAATACAACAACACATAGCTATACTCTTGCATGTACATACGGATACACATGCATTGGTATTACAATAATTAGTCAGAAGCAGTTTACACATAATTCATTCCCTTCATTGTTTTACGCTCTCTTCCCCAGAATATTACATTTGTCATCCTGTGCATGCACAGACACGAACGAACAAACAAAAACAGACATTTTCTGTTCCATTCTGTTTCAACGGATGGCTGACGAACAAAAACGCACGACCCAACATAGATAACGCGTTTTATCATTAACTCACACACATGCACGTGCACATTCATACTCTCTCGCAGAGCGAGAAACAAAGGTTCCGTGAAACAACATCAATACAACAATACGGTGTACTATTAGCAAGGTTCTCCAACTCCAAATAAGCGAATTAGTGGATACAGCATATGTGTATACCTATATAACCATGTGCTGGAGTCGGAGAGAAAGAGAAACCCGAAGAGATTCCGGACACATACATACAGACGTACACACAATATTTGTATTCATAATCGCATCTGTGCGTCTGGAAATTCTGTTATATTTAATTTAAACTTGAAAACAACGTTCGGGACGTCTGTTTATGTAACGGCTTAAATTTAAACTTTTCACTCCGTGCCATTTTAACGCATACCACACGTTAGTATCAGTGCCCATTCAGAGTGGATGACAAAATTCTAGAGAGTTTTGACCTTCTACGCTCCTAATGTTTACGCGAAGCGTAAACTGATCATCTTCTTTCAGTTTTCTGTATCCTCTTTTTTTATATATATTCCCACCCTGGCCACTTAGCAGCTCGTAAATAAACAAATCGTTAACCTCTTCCCGCTGCGAGAACCAAAACACGCAGTTTCGAACATCTCAAATTTACAACCGACATTTAACAAACCATCAGTTTAATTGGAAGCCACCAAACATTATTTACATTCCTAAAAACAACATCAAACATTTTTTAACTTTTCAATTTAGTTTACTTGTTTAGTAAAATATAAATGAATGAAATAATATTTGTATACAAAAAAAAAACTGGTTCTTGCTTAATTCTGTAATTGCTTATCAATCGTAATTTAGACTTTAATAATATATAAGTTGTTTTTCATATATTATTTTTTACTTTTCAGATTAAACCACTGTGAATAACTGTGTCTTCAAAGTCGTTGACTCTACTGTAATACATGTGTGTTCCGCTAAAGGTGCAAAGCTAACATGATATTATTTATTATGTATGTAAAACTTTGAGTCTCTTTAATGTCGTTAAAGTGAAATACAGCTACATTAAAACTTAACATCGCGCTTGTTTTCAAGATTAAAACACATTTATTGCATTTATCTTATAGCCATTATCATCTTAACAAATATTATAAATTATATATTTTTTGTAATCAATGAATATGATGTTTGTTGTAAATAAATTATAATGGGTTTGACCGCAATGAACAATTTTGTTGAATAACAAAAGAAAATTTGAAACAATCGAAATAGTTTTTTCAAATACTGTTTATTATTTTGTTTAGTTTATTCCATTCCATTAAAGTTACGTGCAAACAGGTGTTTCATGTATAAAATGCATGGCACGATATAAGTCAATAAAAGTTTATACAGAAACTTCTGAACTTCATATTCAAATTAACAATTTATCGAGAAAACTATCACTTTCGTTTCGGAAAATGGATGTAATTTCCTCTTGGAAAAGTTTTAACTAAAATTGAACAATGTGAAAGAGTGCAACGAACTTTAATATACACGGTTTTATTGATCGAAAGCGAAGTGTATTTCGTTCAAGCTTAAAATGTTTACAGTTACTTACTAAATTATATCAATGCTTTGTAAAGTCAATAAATTATTTCAATGTAATCAATTGCAAATTTATCCTCACTTAACTCGAAGCAAAAGCAGACTTTTATTAACACAGCGTTTCTAGCGGTGCTTCGTCATGAACTGTTTCTATTTATTTTTCTAATTTCACCTACTTATTCTATTTGCATTCTCAAAACAACAGTTATTTTCCACAGTAAAAGTGAACTTTAAATCAAAAATAGTAGTTCAAATGAGTAGTTCAGATTTATTTAAATTTACAAGTGCTTAAATATTTTCTTAATACCAAAATGTGTGTAAAGAAGCGATAGCTGTGACGTATTGTAACATGTTTTTAGGTGCTAAAATCATTGATCAAACAATATGAAAAGTGAAAAGAAGTTCAATAAATCTGGTAATTTCGTGCAGGGTTTCTCAACCTGTTGTCCACTTGTTGCACGCTTTAATGCATATTCATAATTTCAGGTAAAAAAAATTTAAAATATAGAACTCTAATATATTTCATCAATTATTTGTTAATTAATAACTTCGTTTGTAAAGAATCGTGATAAATGATAATAGACGTTTGTAATGGAGTTTTCTAGAACTCGGCCAACAAAAGAATTTCAGAGGCGATGACTCACTCGAATATCGTAGTCATTATCGATTCCGTTTGGGATTCTCGCGTATTCCGACGTTTCACTTTTGGGTTTCGCTCTTCGACCACAGACGACGACGGTGTGTTTGTGTTGTATGTTCTTTTTTTTTTTCTACATTCACCTCGCATGTGAAGGATTCGAAATGAACGGCATTGTGTGGAATTTGCGAGTCAACTTCGACTTTCCATGCAATAAAACACACTATTTACGGTGCGAATTCAATTACTTGTCGTAAACCCACGACGCTTATATTTATATCTAATTTTTAACAACTAGTCAAATTGAATTTACTCATTTAGTTTTCAATATTTAAGAATATGCAATAAAGAGAAATTATTTTTTGTGTAAATCTAATTTAAACTTAAATTTATATTTATTTTCAGTCAACTAAAACATTTTTTTTTAAATATATGACTCATTGAAAATAAAGGAGAATTGAGTCATATTTCTTAATAAATAAAATAAAATATAACAGTCATAATGGAATTAAAACTAAGATATTTTGAGTCAATACTAAAAAACTCAATATTAAAAATTATTATAAAAATCGAAGCATTTGGAGTCAAAATTTAAATGTGTTGAATTTTTTTCATATTAGAAAATTGTTGGTAAATGATTTAAAAAAAACAATGAGTCAAATTCGTAGAATATTGTTATCAAATGAACTAAATACAATTTTTGGTAATTATAAAAATTTGGGTATTTTTGTGGAAAATGTTGTTTACTGATTACTAAATAAATATGAGTCAAAAAAAAATAATCAAAATTGTGTTATCACCTAGTTTTTTTTATGTACTGATAAAAGAAAATTAGTACATTTAGCAAAGTTGTTATACGAAATAAATCGAGTCATAAGTGATGAAGCAAAAATCTGCGTAATTTCTAAATTTGCGTTGAGGTGAAATAAAAACTCTTCATTCATACATGAGTCAACGAGCTGAGTAAATATTATTTCCGTCTGTTGGCCTCAGCCGAATCCGCGATATTCTTACCAATTTTAGAACGGCAAACGAAACATGGCATTTCGCATCGCCATTTGCTTTCTCAAAATCCACATCATTCTTTCCTTACATCTCGCTTCGGTTTCATTCATTCATTAACTTAATTAAACTCCCGGAAGGACTGTCGGCGAATGAAATTTGTCTTTTATTAGATGCACAAAGAGATCGCCTCAAAGGACAATTAAAATTAACCGGTTAGACGCATTGATTACCGGTTCGCTTCGCGCTTTTCTCATCTATTTTTCCTTCTACTACTTCTTCATGACGCCGCCGCCGCCACAGCTTCGTCCTTTTTTGACAGAGCATTGTTTTGTTATATATAAGCCGGTAATTTACAACTACTTCGACGCCGCAACGGAAAAGCCAATTACTTCCGTTTAAAGTTTAAACAAAAGACCGAGCTGCCGGCGCCCCGGTAAACTTCAATTACGTAATTAATTCGAAAGCGCACACACACACACATCTTTCTTTCCGGGGGTCCAGGCTGTTAATTTAATTAAAGCATATTTCCAAGCGA